AATAGTCTCAACAAGCCAAAGTACAATACTCTCCTTAACCGAGCTAATGAACCGGTCTAGGGCTGTACAATAGGTGTACTGGGAAACCTTAATTCCGACCGAGCTATGTCTCGGGGCTAAACCAGCATTCTTAGTTTTTAGACCGAACTAAGAAAGCTGCCCCTAGAAGCTCAACCGGGCTAACAAATCCTTGCGCAAACCGAGATAATAAATCCCTTGCGCAAATCGAGATAGCAAATGCCTTTGAACATACCGAACTATTGAGTACCTTGCCTAAACTGGGATAACAAAGCACTTTGCATAAACCGAGCTAAGACACGTAGCGTTTCACATAGCCGGGCTAGGACTTGATGTATTTTTGCCTTTACTTCTCTTTAGCACGGTCCAATGGTCTGTGCTTAACACCTTTGTTCTCTTTTTTTCACTTTTGCAGACTTAGGTTGCCCAGGCACTCCTTTGAGGGCTTAACCGAGCCACTCAGCACAAATCTTCGACCGATCTAACACTCGGCTTTAATTTATTTATAACTTAAGACATAAATGGGGAAGTATAGATTCTTAGTAGAGACACCTGGTGGTTTGGCCGAATTCCGAAGGGAGTACAACATCCCTGACGATGTCCACCTCACCTTGGCCAAGCAAGATATTACTCCATTGGGGAACCAAGGTTTTGTACCCTTCACCCTTCTGTTCATAGTAGAAACCGGACTAAGATTTCCTGTTCAACGCTTGCTTTGTGAATTCCTTAGGCAAACCAGAATTTGCCCAACCCAGCTTTCCACAAACTCATATTGTATAATAAATGGTATAGCCGAACTAAACCGCCGTGCTGGCATTAACCTCAGTCTAGCTGAGATCTTCCATCAATACTCCATAGGCTCGAAAGAAGATGGTTGGGTTTATTATCTTAGAATACGTCGCCGCCGAGAGAAAATAATAAAGGACACACCGGATAAAGACTTGAACGACGATGACTTCTTCTGGGTATCTGGGAATTTTGAAGATCACCAAGCCCAGATCCCTGGCCGTAGTATAAATTGGAAGAAAGGAACCCCCGGTATAATTACTTCGGTTTCTTTGACTGGTTCTCTTTTATTTTGGTTTCCTATTTCTAAACCGAACTAACAGTTGTCTTCTTTATGCAGATTCAGCACACCTTAAGTCATTATACAGTTACCCCAACCTAGACACACTTCGCGTCGCACTATGATACCCTGAAAGAAGTTGGGCCAAGCTTCTGGATTTTGAGCCGACATACCGATATAGCAGCCGACGCAAAGCCAGAGTAACAGACTTTTTGCTAGAGGACGCCCCTGAACCGGACCCCACTTTGCCCCAGATCAATCTTGTCCGTTTGACTGCCGAACAAGAGATGGCCAAAAGGAACAGAGTAAGGGCCCTTCTTACCAAAACAAACCGAGCCGAGGTACCACCACCGAACCAAATTCAGGAAACCGTGGTGGCCCTCCCATCTCAACAACCCTCTTCATCACGCCCAAGCAAACGCGCCCAGACTACCCAAACCGAGCAACGCCTTGCTGATGAAGATGAAGTCAGTCTTCCACCAAGCCCTCCACCAAGTCCGCAACCAGAGTGTACCAACCGAGCTAGCTCCTCCAAATGGTCTCCAAAAATGACTTTCCAAAACCGTGCTATTTGTGATACTGACTCTGTGGTGGCTGACAAAGACCATATGCTGGCCTTCAACCTGGCCAAGAGTGTATGTCTGCCCCCTGACATGGAGCATCACAAGCAGTTGACCGAGCTCAAAGCCATCTGGTCGGCAACAAAATCAATGATCCTGGTCAGTAGCTCCTTTTGTGTCTCTAATTTTTCAAACTTTCTGTTCAGTTTTGTCATTAGTTTCTTTGTATTCTTTTTCAGGCCATGCAAAAGAGTCAAATTGCGCACAAGCGTGTGTTGGAGCTTCGTAAAACAACAAGGCAAGCCATGGCCGAAGTTGAAGCAAAAACCACCGAGCTAAAAGACTCCCAACAGAGGACAGCCGAGCTAGAGGCCGAGGTAACTCGTCTGACCGGACTAGTTACCTCGGCTAATGTTGACAAACAGAAGGCACTGACTGTGATGAAGGACAAGTACCTGCGTGAGCTGGCCAAGCTCGAAGGAAAGAAAAATACAGAGATTGCCGAGCTAAAAAAGAAGGCGGATGATGCAAATGCTGCAGGTTTCAAGGAGGGAGAGGCCATTTATATGCAACAATGTGAGGCAGCTAAGGATTTGTTCTTCAAATGCGGTTGGAGGGGGGCCGTGGTCTAGTTCGGTCATGGTCTTGAAGCCGAGGTATTCAATCCTCCTTCATACTTTATACCGAGCTCACTAGCGGAGTACGCTGCTACCCTTCAGCAACAATTCCTTGAGGGTTTAGATGATGATGAAACTTAGCCTAATGACACCCCGGTCGTCAATGATCCTGCCGATCAGTTAGCTCGGGCTGAGCCTACAGTGGAAGACCTGACTACTGAGCAACCAATTGATACCGTGCTTCCAACAGAGACCATACTTCCGATCGAAGCTGAGATCCCGTCTGAAACCGATCTTCGGGTTGATGTTGATGCTGATCTTGACGCCGAAATAGATGATCTTTTTAACTGATTCAGTATTTTCCCTTATTTTTGGGAACAAATTGTAACCGGGCTGAGGCCCCACCCTTTTGTACATGCTTTTGAATTTGATCAATGAAAATCATCTTTTGTATTCAACACTTATTCCGGTTTGATCTGTATGCTTGCACTTGTAATGAGTTTTTCAATGAATTCTTTTGCTCCAACTGTTATCTCGGTTTACTTTCTTATTTGTGCTTGCTTTCTAACTGCAACTTGAACGAAACACAATATTTTTCGGCCGAGATACTTTATTCCGGTCTTAGCTGAGCAATCTGACTGAGCTTACTAGCCAACCACTCTTTAGCCGATATACTTACTTCGGCTGAAGAGTACCAAGAGTTAGTTTAATCCAGTCAACCACTCTTCAGCTTATACCCTTACTTCGGCTGAAGATTAATAAAAGTTGGTTTAATCCAGCCAACCATACTTCGGCCGATATCCTAACTTCGGTTGAAGAGTAATAAGGGTTTAATCCAGCCAACCTCGAAGTTGGTTTTTTCTAGCCAACCACTCTTTAGCCGATGTCCTTGCTTCGGCTAAAGAGTACTAAGAGTTGGTTTAGTCCAGCCAACCACTCCTTAGCCGATGTCCTTACTTCGGTTGAAGAGT